GTTTCAGAGAAATTACAAAAAGTAGTAATAAGTTTTAAAAGGGTCAGCTTGCAAAAATACTAGAAGTCTAATTTCTAAAATGTCTCTGAAAGTAAATTACTATTTCTAAAAACCTCCAGGGACATCAATAAGCTCTGACTGCTTTAGCTAACCCTTCACGATATTAAGAAAATCTAAGAAGGAGTGGGGAGGCTGCAAACATGTTTCTTTCTCATCTAACAGATAGGTAGTTCTACATTGTAGACCAAAGGATCACATGCAAAGATATTTTGCCATGTTTCTGCAGGCAAAAGGTAGAAAAATGTTAACATAAGGGACAAAATCTTGTCAGTGTAATAAACTTGGACCATAGCCAAAATGAAACTCCTAAAAGCTATTTGCTTTAAAAAGACAATAATAAAACTATTGCTTTATTTCTCAAATGGTATAATCTCTAACATTTTAATGGCAAATGAGTGTAATGAAAACGACTGAGCTCTCCTGTCTTGGATTTCAAAATTCACTTACTTGATTCACTGTACTTTATTAGCAATTTCAAACATTGTACCAAAGAATTAAACAAAAACTTAGACCAGTATCTATAAATTACAACTAAAATTATCTGTTTCCTAACCAGAGGTATATAAAAGTTTCCCTGATTATATTAGAAATCCAAGAATGTTTGAAGTTTTACAGGAATAAAATGCAATACAGGAAATCTTGAGATCTTAGGACTATTTTTTGTTTTTTTGAATCCTTACCTGACACAATGAGGCTTGTAGAGTCTAATTTTTGTATAACTGTGTTTCATTGATGAAACTTGTGAGAGTCAAGGTTTTTAAGCAGCGTTACTTCTTGGGTAAAAAACTCAACTGTTTTTCTTTGATGAAGAGTGAAAAACAAGAGATTTACTTGGAAAATTAGTATTTTGGCCATTGTAATGTGCACTAGCATGTACTTTTAATACAGTGCTCACCTTTTTCTAGGCTTCCAATAACCCATTTATAGGTAATCATGGCAAGTCTGTTAAAGAAAAATCTCTGCTTGATTCACCTATTAATCTGATAGCATAGTTAACTGGAAAGGAAATCCAAAACCAAGATCCTTAACCATTTTATATACTTCTTTCTTATGCCCCAGGGAATGACTAGCACACAGTGCTGGGCCCACAATGATCTAGGGCATAACTGATTATCTAAAAAAACAGATGGTTTCAGAAGTAAATGAAATCACATAGTTAAAATACACTTAGACATCAGCCAGATGTCAAAGGGGGAATCAATTTGAATGGTTTCCAACATGATTACATGACAAATTAATTTTTTTTTTTTTGAAATGTAGCAAATGAACAAGTGCTTCCTTCACTTCTGTTAACAAACGTGGCAATTTATGGACTTAATATTCTGTTCTAGTTTTGCAAGGAGTGTTTTAAGAAGTTATTTCTTCCAAATCACATGTCAAAATATTGTCTTTGTAAGTATATCCAGCTAAGTTTAGGATAATGCTCCTCATTTTAAACTAGATGCTAGTCAGTGAAACTAAATTATAACTCTCAACATCTTCAGAAAGTTTTGAGGTACTATGACCAGTTACTACAGGAACTGAGAACACAAGATCCACACTGCTCAACCCCTGCCCCACCTCCAGCACTTTTTAAAAATAAGCTTGTAACTGCTGAAGAAATAATTTTGTGGAGCTCATATATACATTCCCCTTTCACATGAAACAATGTTTGGTTGGTTAAAACCAAGTGTGAGTTGCATGTGATAGAAATCCTGCTTCAACAACAACAAAAAGAAAAAAAAAAAAGGAAACGCAGGGATTCCAAATAGCAAATTATTGATTGTGCTCTATGATTAAAGAAAAAAAAAATCTTTTTGGATTCCCATCCACAGCCACCCGGGAGCTCATGAGTATATTTTCAAGCTCTGGACCTTACATCCCACTTCTTCTATAGAAGTTAAGAATATTCACATCCCCCTAGGCCATGTAATATATAAATGTGTTTTATTTGATGGTAGTAATGTAAAACTGTACCTTCGTATGTATCTTTTAAGGCTGGAAGTTATGAGCAAATACCGATCTGAGGATCTACAGACACTCTCTCAGGTCTGTGCCCTCCCTGGACCCTGCAGGCTGTCCTGTCCAGCGCGTATGTGTGTTCTTCCTGTCAATTCCATCAACCAGCAGTGTTTTCTCATCCTGACACACCCAAGGAGACCATCGTGAAGTTGGACGATTGCAAAAATTAGGGTTCAGAGTCCTCGTGATTACGAATCAAACTTTGAGAATTAAAAGTTGGGAACTTCTAAGCTCTCCCAGCAAAAAAAGGATGCGTATAGCCAATCTTGAACAATCGAATGCCTGCTAATTTGATTGCCTAGAATTCCAGTCATTAGCCAAGCAATCTTCCAAATTAAGACATCCGGTCTCCTTCAATCTTCCACTTACACCAGAACACAGAAGAATAGATCTGACCCATCAACTTAGGATAAAATTACCCATGAAAATGGCTTGGGATGTACGGATGAGGAGCTAGTCATACAGCATTATTCGGAAGAACCCAGGCTGCCACTTGGAAGTTCTGTAGATTCACGGATTGCTAGGGAATTACCTTAACATTCTTGATCTAGGTTGTGAAAATGGGTCACAATTTAGAAATGTGCATTAGTAGCTCAAAGGACTGAAAGCCAAAATGTTTGCACATTTCCATTTGAGTGAGTTGAGGCATCCTAATAATCTCACAAGCTCCGGACAGAACTGATATTAAAAATAAAGATGCCACGTACAATACATACTTAGGATCTACGTAGTATGTAATCATAATTAAAATAACGCACACAAGGTTCTCAGTTCATATAATTTATTGCAGTTAGCACACAGTTTAAAAATTCACCAACACACCAATAGTACAAAACTAAACAGCATTATAAGTTATTCCCCCCTCAGGAAAATAAAACATACTATGATTGTCAAAGCTAGATGTCAGTCTAAGTTTTAGAACAAAGGAAGAATGTGAAACTAATAAAAGGAAAAAGCAATCACTCACAATGACCACAAAAAGAAAATCCAAAAGAAAGTCCGTTTTCTCAGACATTGATTGTCTCCTCTAAATTAATAAAAATTATTTTAACATAAACTGTATTTAAAAAAACTAGAAACTCTTCAAGTAACTAAAGATAATGCTCCAAGGCCATTTTCACAGCTTTTTTTTTGTTTGTTTGTTTGCTTTAAATGCCATTACAGCCAAATTAACACACATTTGACCAAATATTTCCAAAACAGTCCAGCAACACACAATGGAGTTTTCCATTCAGTATCTTAAGCACAAAAATAGGCTATGTTTACAGTAGTTAAGGCGATCAAATTTTAAACAAAAGCAATTAAAAAAAAAAAAGGGAAAAACAGCAAACGTTTTCCATGCTACTCCCATAGACCTTATTTGTAAGTGCAAGACAGGAAAACAAACACTGTGCAAAATGCTTTTGCCCTGCGTGCTGGTCATTAAAACCACACTGGGCTGCAGCCTCCGCTGCCCCATACACATAGTCTACTAACCCCCTTCCCCACCTTCCCCACGTCAATCAAGGCAGTCCAGTCCTTTCAGCCCGGGGCTTTTTCAGTCCATAGAATCTTTTCATGAGTTGGGGGTGGGGGGAGTGGGGGAAGGATGAAGGAAGGGGGGGAAGGGAGACAGGGAGGGGAGGGTAAGGGAGAAGGGAAGAAAAAGAGAAGGGGAGCCCAAAAAAAAAAAAAAAAGAAAGAAAGAAAGAAGAGAGAGAATGACCTATTGTCAATTTGTGCAGTAGTTATTCTAAAAATGCTCAACTGGGCAAATGTGTACACCTAAACTTTTGAGCCGGCATGGGTTTTGTGCAATTAGAAGTTTGTTATAAATGCACACTGCACATGCAAATCTTTAAGCCGTTTGTAAACATTTATATTTTCCTTGTTATGTAGCGAAGTTATCAATTTGCAGCTTAAGTTTTTATTCAGCTTAACAGTTTCAACTTAAAGACAGTGGGAAAGTCAACTTAAATTATATAAAATAAAAATAAAAACAGTGCATTTACGTTCTTCATAACACCAGTTTTTTCCCCAAACGGTGCTATTTTTTTTCTAAGGAAATTAAATAATTTTAAACTCACTCGTTAAAGTTATACAATGCAAACAAAGACAAAAAATATATTGAAACTCATGCATTTCTGTAGCGTTAATATTTACTTTTCAAGACTCAACTAAGAGCATCAACACAACCTGTCAAGTTCTTTGACACCCCCCCAGCCCGTGTAATCAGTTACAGTATACAAGAACAGTAATTCACATTTTTCAACACACAGTTCAACACTGCTGAAGCTGCAATATCCTTTTTCATCCCAAGCAAACCTTCACAAAGACAGCGTCCCAGTGATCCCAGTGTACTTTCAGAATTTCTCTCATTGGGAACCGTCAGAAAACCAGAAGTTGCCACAGAAAGTTTTAAGTCAACTGCTTGTTTAAAAATAGATAATCCAGCATTTCAGAAATTTTCCATTTGGGTCTAAAAGCATTCAGGTTTCCAACAGCCAGAAAAGATTCATGCAATTTTGTGACATATAAAGAGGCTAATAAAACTGGAGGGAATTTCTACTCTGAAAAAGGAAAAGAAACAAAAACAAAAAAAAACAAAACAAAACAAAAAACAAAACAGAAACACAAAACCAAAACAAAGTGGGAGAAGGAGAAAGAGAGAGAGAGAGAGAGAGAGAGAGCGAGCGCTCAGAAGACAATGCAGTGTCAACAGAATTAAGCCCTGTGAAAGCATCTTGTGATAGGACGAGTTGTTTCAAAGGTTCTTATTGGCTTACTTCCCCTACCCCCTCGAAAGAAAAAGCCCTCTCTAGTCTCCGACTTGCTCCAAAGTCTTTTTTACCAGAATGCTAAATTAGTGAGAGTCTCATGCTACTCTAAAGTGCAAAACCGAGTTAACACCCCGACGGTTTAGTTCCAGGAAACAAGGCTGCTTTTAGACCGTACCACAACTAGATAGAGATCTATGTATATCTATGTATATATATATATTATTTATATATATATATATATATATCTATAAAATTATTTCCAGAGTTCTTGCGAGCTATCTTCTAAGGTCCAGTCTCTGACAGTGGGCAAGCTCAGGGCTTCGCTTTTGACAGACAAGGAGTTCACCAACTCACAGTGGAACTTGCGGATGTGTCTGTACAGGTCCCCCGACTGCGTGAACCTGCGCTCGCACCACTTGCAGGCGTGCGGCTTCTCGCGGGTGTGCACCACGGCGTGGCGGCTCAGGTTGTGCGAGTACTGGAAGCTCTTGCCGCACTGCGTGCACGTGTAGGGCTTCTCGCCCGAGTGGGTCCTCTCGTGACGCTTGAGCGTGTACATGCACGAGAAAGTCTTGCCGCACAGCGAGCAGGTGGGCACGTTGACGTCGGCGGCCGGCTTGCTGCGCAGCCCGTCCTGCTCGCGGAAGTGCGTGCTCAGGTGGATCTGCAGGATGTGCGGGCTGGGGAAGACCTTGTTGCACAGCGGGCACATGAAGATCTGGCCGGCCGGGCTCAGGATGTTGGACACGTAGGGCAGCAGGCTGCTCTCCATGCCGCCCTCCACCGGGCCGCGCTCGGCGTCCGGGGTCATCATCTCGTCGTCGCTGGCTTTGTCCTCGCGCTCCAGCTCCCTCAACACCGAGTCCTCCCTCAGCGGAGCCAGGTGCGCCGGCTCATACTGTACCCTGGCGTTAGTGCTCACACTCTCTTTCACAGCGCTATGTTCCATGTCATAGTCATTAGTGCCAACATCGCTCTCCTCACAGGAAGCCTCTTTCTCCACCTTCACCTGCACCAGGTTGCTTCTCAGCACGTCCTGTGAAGAGAAATAAGAGCTGTTCAGATTTTCAACTCCCGAAAGGCTGGACTTGACAGACAGGTCCAGCACACAGTCAACATCTGCCGAATCCCTCACGGAGGTGACAGACCTCTGGGACAAAGACTCTGTCGAGCTGCAGGGGCTGGCTACTGTTTTTCCAGCTGCTGTGGCGTGTGGCTCGGCCTCCCCGCCAGCCGGGGGGAGGCCCGTGGAGTCGGAGGGCAGGCGCATCCACATGTTCCCAGGCTCGGCCGCCAGGTCCCTTTTGCTGGGCAGGAGGTTCAGCTTCTCATCTTCGCCCTCGTCTTCGTCACTGGGCAGATCGCCTGCCATGCGGCTGCTGCCGTCGGAGAGGCTCTCGACTTTGTCCGAGCAGCTCGAGGCATCTTCCTCCTTCTTGGTGCTGTCTGCCTCCGTGGTGGCTTTCTCTTTCAGCTTCTTTTTGCAGACTTTGACAATGTCATACATGTGGAGATAACTGGCAGCTGCTAGCACGTCCTCAATGGGCAAGTCTTTGAACTGGAGTTTCCCTTCATACATGAATTCAAGCAGGAGAGCGAAAGCTGGGGCTGTAACAATGTCGCTGTTCAGATGAACAATGTCTCTTTTGTCCAGCTGGTCCTTGTAAAAGAGGTGGAAATACATGCTGCACGAAGCCAGTACAGCTCGGTGCGCGCGGAACTGGGCATCTCCCACCAGAACAGTGCAGTCACAAAGGAAGCCTTGATGCCTCTGCTCGCTCAGACACTGCAGCAAATGCCTACTGTGGTCTGGAAACTCCATACTGTCTTCATAACCTGCGGAGAGAGACACTTCTCGTGAGAGCCCGCTCAGGACAACTTTTCCAGCGCTCTAGTCCTCTAGTCCCCGCGCACACACACACAAAAGACAGTGACAGTGATTCGGCTCAGGTCGCCGAGGTACCCGTCCCTGCATTTTAATCAGGCGTATGACCCAGGGACTACCAGATCACTCGCACAAAACCTAAATGCGACAAGAAAGAAAAGTGCCCTCTCCAAACTTCCTCGCCCCCAGCCAAACGGTCCCTGATGCATCTCCACCTTCCTGGAACTTTTAGTGAAGTTTCAAAAGCCTTCACTGCATGCAGTCTCTTCCTGAGAAGAAGAATTTAGCTCTCTTTCAGAAGAAGTGAACCTACTCATCAAATTATGTCCTATAAAACCTACAAAACAGCTTTAATTTCAAAGGGAACAGCTCATAGAATGAACAAAGGAAAGTCCCAAACACATTCTGGAAGATTCAGAAAACTTGTTCAACCGTCCTTTTTATTTTATTACTTTTGATACATGACTGCACTTAGAAAGCACAATTTTCACACACACACACACACACACACACACACACACACACACGGGCTGAATCAAGAGGGGGAAAAAATGAAATCGCATAATTAGCCCAGAAATTAGCAAACAACTCACTTTTAAAGTCAGAGTGTTACAACAACAAAAGCCCTGTGTATAAAAACAGATGTTAATGCCTTAGGATTTGCAGGTATGGCACACATGTACGAGATCAGAAAGAACTACACCAACAGATGGAAAAGATCATCTTTACTATGAACAAATCCAAATATTTTTTAAATGAATTGAGAAAAAAACTAATATTTCTTTGTAAAATCTGTACATCCAGAATATCAAGAACCAGAAGGGCTTCACTTAACTCTGAAAATTCTCATCTAAACTTTGATCCGTTGAAAAGCAAATGAATTCCATACCAAAATTATTTCAAACTTTTAAACGAAGGCATATCGTATTCAAAAGCTTTACAGGTTCAACATCCGCCCCCCCCCCAAAGCCTTGCTAGAAAAAGAGAAACTATTTTTTTTTTTCCTGACTCTGCCTTACCTCATGCAACAGAAAATACTTTGTTTCAATAAAACTTGATATATTTTGTTTTCCCACTAGCTTCTATTCTTTCAAATACGAATCGCTGCCCTTGTTTTCTGGTGAAGGAGGGTGAGAGGGACGGAGAGGAAAGGCGAAGATGTACAAAGGGTCAAAATTCAACTGCAAAATTCAACTCCTTAAAAAAAAAAAAAAATCAAGAAAACCCCACTTCCCCTTTCCTGTGACCAGAAGCAAGGTTCCACACCAAGCAGCTCAGAGAGTGCACTGGGGAACGGACACATAGCAATTTAATATTCCAGAAATTACCTCCCTGCTTTTTCCCCACTTTGCCCAAGATGGACTAAAACTTTCATCCTAGCCCCAAAATACCTTCCTAACGATGCCACCGCTAGAATAAACCAAGATTTACAATACAATCACTTTAAGTGCCCCACAGCTAACATCAATCCTAATCCTTGAGAGGGCTAAAAATAAAGATTGGAGGGCAGCTCACAAGGTAGCCGTGATCAAATTAGGAGGCTGAGAGGACAGAGAGGGACGGAGAAGGAAGCTTATAAACATCTGATCCAGCGGACTGTGGCCATATGGCAGCTGCTGCCCAGATAAAGAGATTAAGAACAGAGGAGTGCGATTACAGCTGTCTGGCCAATTCAGGCAGCTCAAATCTACAAGTTCTAAATTAGTCGCTAACACAAAAACTCCTGCAAATAATTATTGTTATGCTGAAATAAAAGCTCTCTTAAATATATATTTGAAAGAGAAATGAGGAAACCAGTCAAACTATTCTCCTGGGGACAAAAGTGTTTTTTTTTTCCCCCATTTTAAAAAACCTTCGGTTTCAAAAGCACGACAGCTGTATGTTTCAGCAGTGCTGCTGCTGTTTTGAAGAATAAAGTTTCACAGTGGAATTAATTACACAACAATCTAGCTTCTTAACCAGAATAATCTTCTCATATAAGTTTGAATGCTGGATTCCAGACAGTTTACTATTTCTCTCCCCCCTCCACCCCAAAAGCAAAAGGAATCTAAATAGCAGTGAACAACCACAAGAAGCATTTTAATCCAAAGTGATCTCAAAAAGCAACATTTCAAAGCCTTTCTTAACATTTCAAAACTTGAAATATTTCTGTGTATTAAAGTTATTTACTTGCCTGAGCAAAAGGGATAAAAATTAAAACTAAACAAGCTCAAGACTTTCAACTCCAATAAGATGTTCATTTCATACTCAGTTTCATATATTATTCCTAAACTGGGTTAGAAAAGTAATGTGATTTTTTTTAATTAAATAAACAAAACACCACAACAGAAATAGGCTCAATCTAATCTCTTGCTACTCCTACCTTTAGGACACATAAACCTGATTAAGTCCTTTCCTCTGAGTCTCGCTGGCTCCAGGTCTGTTACATCGGTGGAAAAAAAGCAGACTAAGAGAGACAGATGCAAAGTGGAGATGATGTTAGAGAGGAATAAGATACCTTCTCCAGCACAGATCCGCACACACTAACTCCCTGTCTGTGTGTTAGAATAAAAGGCTGAGGGATGGCAGGCTGTCAGCTGCTCTGACATCATGTTCAGATGGAAATGCTACCTCCAGCTGTGCTCCCTTTAATGCCATATGCTACTCCTCTACACTCCTGCCACCAGCTCTTTCTTAGGAGAACTTTTCTCTTCTGTTAGTATAAACAAAATACTTCAAAGTCTCCCTTTTTTTCCAAACTTTCTAACAGAAAGAAATGGAAAAACTCAGCATATGGAGTTCTACTGTATTTATGGAATAGCAACACTTCTGTCTCAAGTTGGTGGACTGGCTTACACACTGACAGCACACTCAAGCCACGGCGCTATTCAGGAAATCCACATTCACTTTTATTCAACTCCAGCGTTCAGTTTCAAAGGCAGCTTAGGGATATTTTTAAACCAACCCAATTGACATCTCCAGGCCCATTTCAACATTCTCATGGTACTTTCATTTTTTTTTTCCTGCCGAGATAATGGCATATGTGTCTCAGAATGCTGGAAGACGAAGCAGAACTATTACTCCAGCCCAATTCACCTTATGATTTTGCTCTTGTGTTAACTGCTCATCTCCTACTACCTTCTCAATAAAATTTCTCACATTGCCAGTTAATGCAAATTTCAACTCTCAGTATCAACAAGGTGAAACTGCACTTTCTGAAATCCTGGAAAGTACTTCAGTTCAATGAGACGAATTAATAAACTGATACAACCTGCTACAGCCACTTAACAATGAACGCTGCACCTGCATATCTGATCTGACTCTCCGCTCAGAAAAAGCAGAACTCTGTCTTCCCCTTGATCTGTGTCCCATAACAATCTTTTTTTGGGTCACTCTGTAATGTTTGATGATCACAGGAAAACCTTTCAGCTTTCAGTAAGGGGGGGGGCATGTCTAGTAAGTTTGAGAACTTTTTAGCTCGACTTTGTGGGTCTTTCCTAATGGCTGATGAAATCGTCCAGTAACCCGGGCTGGGCTGACCAGTGCCCTGCAAGGTGCTGCGACATCTGTGAATGTCAAATACATCTCCACAGACTCTGGGGAGGGTGAGGCGTAGAAAAGGCCTGAGGCGCGAGTGTCGCAGCCCTGGTGATCACCACTCCGTCCTCATCAGGAAACCGCGGCAGAGTTAAAGAGTAACAAAAACCAACGTCTCTGTCCTGTCCTCGCTTTGCCAAAGTCACAAACCTAACTTTCTCTAACTTCGCGGTGAATGACATAATAACGAACGCCTATTCTAGGAGGCACTCTTCGGAGCTACATTCCTTCTCAGCCACACAACCTATTCTCCACAAATGCCCTCGCCCCATTCCAATATATCAGACATTAATCACCCCATTTACCCAGTGGGGTGGGGGGTGAGTGACAGTTTAATGAGTCCCAAGCACCGCAATGGGCCAGCGACTCCCACCCCACAAATCAACCCCTTCACAGTCTTCCTACCGCGGGGTCCAGAGAGGGTTTGCGAGATTGGGTTTTTATTTTTTCCAAGGGGTGGGGGCGAGGGTGCGGAGTGGGGGGGGGGAGAAGAAATGCAAATCTCCACCTAGTTCACCGTGCATAAAACACACGGGGAAAGAGGAAGGTTAAACCACAGGGAAGGAGGTGGAGGGCGGAGAGCCGGTGCAGCAGGAAAACACCTTAAACAGCAGACGAGAAAACAGACTCGGGTCACGGCAACAACAAAAGAAAAGTCGTAAGAAGAAGCCCGCGGGAGGAGGGTGGCTGCTACCGCCTACCCAACGCCGCGGCGCGCGAGCCCCCGGGGCCTCCCGGCAACTGCACCAGCCCGGGAGGGGCCCC